TTAAAGAAAATGCTTTGTCACAGAATAATAGTCTGTTAAAGGTGCCAAGTATGAAATAATTTGAGGACAAAAAAACAAACCTGCATAGAAATCGGAATAATAGGTCTTTTGATTATCGGAGACGCATTTCAATGGACTTGATTACGGACAATGCATGACGTAAATTTTACCAGGAAATTCCGCAGTGTGCTCTCGCAATCGAGGACTTAGTCATTTTTACAAGTTTCGCCATTTTTGATGTCACATGATAATTATGTAAACAATGACCGTCCAGTTTGTGCGAACTTGTACCTCTATACTTAGTCTTTTGAAATATATAAGCTAAATTACTCTTCTGAACAAGACAACAGACAGAGAATGATTTATTCGAAAACGTCACAAAACCCTTCTCGCTACCTTAATTAGAACTAAAATTGATTTAACACTACCATTACTACTTTTATAACAACCACAGCTTGTAAGTCATTTACTTTTTTATAGACTACCGGTATTATTTATTATCATAAGGGAACCAATATATTGTTTCCTATCTCTACATTTGACTGCTTGATAAAATCATTTTAGTTTCCTACTTTACACTATATTTTTTACGTGATTGCAATACTGTGCAAGTGTTATGATAAATGAAGACATACTCACTAGTATTCACGCTAGCACTGTCACTGTTTCAAATACCAATTTGGCTAAAATATTCATTGGTTAAAGGCCCAATTCACTTGTGAATTGGAGGTGTGGCTATGCTAATGAGTGGTGTTAATCACTTGCATAGCCTATGACGCATCCTGTTTCAGCGGTCCAACATCACGTGACTTTGATTGACAGTAGTAATTATTCAAGATTAGTCGCGCGTCCCTTTTCCCGGTTCATATTTTTTACTTTTATCCGCCAAAATCTCAGCTCGTACACTGTTTATTGTCGTAAATACTACACACAGTCACTGCTGTGATATTCATAGTCACATACATCCACTTTGGCACGACATAATAGACCTGTAAGTTCGAGAAAACGTGTTTTTACCGGAGCTTAGCTGGAGCTGTTTATTACAGCGTGACAAATAAAGAAATAATCCCTATTGTTTAGGAACGTATATAGTACACCTGGGCCTTTAAGATACTGATAACATATTAGTTGCATATTATTGGATTTGTTTCATGCTAAGACTTGATATAACATTGTACCGTGTTGTATATTAACACATAACAAAGATTATACTACAAGATACACTTTTGGTTCTCAATCAACACAACTGTGAGAAAGGTCATATTTAAATTAATGTAATATCACCTGATTTCAATCATTCTCCAGTCCCTGTGAAGTTAATAAGGTAAGTAATTTATTAACCCATACCCAGCAATTCACAGGTTTTTTTCTAAAGGTTGGTAAATATATGGAGGGAATATTGTTACAAGAACCAGACATACCTTGTTTTTTCTTAACCTATATTTTAGAAAAAAATAACAGAATTTCAAAATTTTGTATGTGTACTGTCAGGTTTTAAGGAAGTTTGTAACTGCAGTTTTCATTATTAAAAAAATTTCTCTTGTGTACTTCATTTGTGATCTATATCTTCATGACAAGTACTGTGTTTAGGGGAATAAAAAAAAATAAGTTTTTGATGATCATGTTTTTTTTGTTGGTATGTTTTCAAATTAGAGTATACATGTACACTGCCCTCTATGGTGGTTAAGTCATTTGACTTACAGGTCAGAATTTGTAGCACTGTAAAACCATTTATTTTCACTTTCTGGATGCTTTGAGCAATTTCACCGGGTTTTAGGTTCATAAACATGACATGGAAATGTTGCATGCTATTGTTATTTTTCATGTTCACATGGATTTATCTTGGCGGGTTTTACTTGACACTGAAATTATTGAAATTAAAGTTTTAAGTACTGTAAACTGCTTTAGTTTTGTGAGAGAAAATGTCAGTGAGTTTCATGAGTCAGTAAAAAAATATATTCATGAATATATGAAGTCATCAATTATGTACAAATTTCCAGGATTGAAAACTAAATTAGCAGTTTTTTTCTCATTGAAGACGGTGAATAAATAAAACTGTCATTAAAGTTTTCCATATTGAATTCAAATTTGAAAAAAATTATCAGAAAATCTTTTGTTTTTATTTGGTTCTTACTGTCAAAACTCAAATCTTACACATATTTTTTTTCTTCTAACAACTTATAATCAGCAAAATTTATTATTTGTTATTTTCATACAATCCATGTTTATTTCATTTCTTGCATATCATAGTGGTGCTGATATCTGTGGTAATTGTTGGCCATTGATGACAATAGCAATCAAAATACTGGACAAAACACTTGAAGGTAAGACATTCCTTTATTATAGATGGATACAGCACAAATGCTTGAAGCATGAAACCAGGAACAGCCACTGGTGACGCTGTATACAATTGAAACCTAATAGGTTTTCGATTAATAATTGCACTTTAAAATAATATTCATGAGATATGTCTACAACATAACCTCGTTAAAGTTATTAGCATATTGTGTTCATAGTGTGCAAGCTGGGCTTCAGGCCCTTTTTCCGTATTCTACAACACATGTGTCATCACAGTGAAGTCAATTGCAGTTTATGTTTTATGCAAGGTAACTTTCAGCACAATCAATCAGGTTTGTCAAACAAACGTCACTGATGGTGCTGAACGTTGTGTTCATATTCAAAGCCCACTCATAAGCGACGCTACCAGATATATACAAAAGCTAACAAGCAAACAGATTGCAAAGGATTTGTACATACTCCCACCATGTCATATGCTGTAATATGCAATTACAATTCTGGTTCCCTCATAACTCTGGATATTTTTCTGTTAAAGTGAAGAGTCCTTCCAAGTAAAGTATTTGAGATATGCTCACTTAGGCAAAAGAAAGATTGCGCGGCTCAAGCAATATATTTATGACTTGAAAGTTCAATCGACAATGCAGTAAGAGGGTGCCAGCCGAGAGTATCAGGGCTCTGCGCCCCTGTTCCCCGGTTTAGAAAAACCCCTGTTGAAGTTAATAGCTATGTAATAATCACAGTAAGTAATAATATATTTTCACGTATTTATATTATATTATTATATTACCGGTATTTAAACTTTATTCTCATCAGAGGATTTTGGATTTGATCATCGATTATTTGTTTACTCTGGTCGCCGTGGTATCCATTGTTGGATTGCTGATGAGACTGCTAGGAAGCTTTCCCAGAATGCAAGAACTGCCATTGCTGAGTATCTGAGTCTAGTCAAGGTATGTATCAATAGTTGAGGTTGAGGTCATCTGAAATGACAGAAACGCTTAATTTGTAATGATATTTTAGCTATAAAATGGCCACATGCATCATTTCCAATGTTTCCACCATGTTCTTATATGACTTAGACCTTGTTTTGAAACAATTTTAATTTAATGAATTTTTAGTGATAAAATGGCCACCGTTCAGCCATCTTAAATCAAAATACAAAATGATTGTACATGCAGACATTGTATGTATCGCAGGATGTATGGTGTATATGTTTAGTTTGAATGTGACAGATCATGTCTGAGATAAAGATGGGAGTTGCGAGCATACGCATGTGAAATTATAAGTCCCTGTAACTTATTTTTAAACAAGTGGACTGTATTTTTCTTTCATTTTTGTGAAACTCCAATAAGGCTTGGCGTTTGTTGCAGGAAATCTAAAACAATCCATTATAAGTTGTGTACTATAAGTCATGAATATTGTATATTATTATTATTTCCTCAATCTGTGATTCTCAGGTAGTTTGCAAATCTGACTGATGATGTTCTAAACCTTCATTCAATATTAATAATGTTGTCCCTAGGATTTTGGTTTGTGTTAGCACACAGTTAATGAATACTCTATTCACTGTCTAGGGTGGTGAGAACCAAATTAAGAAAATTACGCTACATGATCCTTTGCATCCATCTATTGTGTGAGTACTTATTTTCATTTTTTTTTTATTATTGACTCTATGGATTTGATGTCATAACCATGAACAGTTATATGTAATGAAGAGAAGTGAACTCTTGCATTTTGAGATCATTTCAACGCGATTCCATATCGTCAATCTAATGTATTTCTAACTCATACAAACAACAATTGACAATATCTAAAACGGCGCGAGATTAACACAAATCAGTGTAATCACAGACGCACAAATTTGCATAAAAATTTCTTTAAATGTAAGTTTGTTTTTCAATGTTGTGATCACCTTGTAACTCATATGACTTTTTCAATCTGCACAAGATCTGAAAGTAACACTGGTTTTCAAAAGATGTAAATAAAGGAAATATTCTATTCTTTCTGTAAAATAGTTGAAAACACACAAATAACACATTCATACTTAACTTGCATATTATTACCAGTAGTTTGAAATGTGCTTATATTTGAGTTTTCGGGAAAAAAAAACATTTTCGTCTTAATCAAAGTTGGAAAAATCTACTAATAATTGTAATATTACAAAAATGTATTTGTGTTTTTTAGGAGAGCTTTGTCTGTGGTTCATGCACATTTTGAAGATTTGGCTTTGGATAAACAAGATATACTGGGTTGCAAGGAATCATGGGATAAAGTCCTGGCACTTGTACCTGATGAAGCGGTATCCTTTGAATAATGTAAACAATTCAATTAATTCTAGCCTTCCTGTAACAGGGTTAACAATTCTTAAGCATGTTTTATATTTTTTGTTTGTTTTTAAAGTCATGAAGTAGTCCCAAATATGGTTTTTCAATTATTTTGGTCTTAAAAAGCTCTCAAATATAATAAACATTATTTACCATGTCGTCTGTCAAGAATAGGGAGGCATCTGACGTCAGTAGCAAGTCATTTTTATGACGAATTTTTGCTACACTGCTCACATAGTATGGCAGGTATAAACTAATGAAATTGCTATGAAATTTAACACAACATGTATATCATGACGAACCTTGTGACACCTTCTAACCTTTTCCTAAGTTCCCTCATGTATTGTCCTTTTATGTCCTATATTGTTAGTCCCCGTTCGGACGCAGTCCGAAAACAGGGACTTATGTTTTGACCTCCGTGTGTCTGTGCGTGTGTCCGTGCGTGCGTCTGTGCGTGCGTCCGGACCTGTATCTTAGAAATGCCTGGACCAATCACAATCAAACTTTACACATACATCATACATGATAGTATACATATGCACGTCAATTTGTTTCACGATCTGATTCAAGATGGCCGAATAGCGGCCATTTTTGTGCTAAAAATCATCAAAAACAAGCATTTCTCAGCTGTTAACAGATGGATTTTGTTCAAACTTGGTATATACATTAGACATTATGGGACCTTGATGCAAATAATTTTGTTTTTTAGATAAGATTCAAAATGGCTGACTGGCGGCCATTTTGTTTTAATGAATGTTGTTCTCGTTCCATATCTCTGACTTGCTTTCACTGATTATGTTCAAATTTTGAAATCATTATATATCATGTCATAGATAGACAGATATATTGGTTTGACGATCCTATTCAAAATGGCTAAATGGTGGCCATTTTTGTGCTAAAAAATCATCAAATATCAAGCATTTATGGATGGATTTCGTTCAAACTTGGTACATATGTTAGACATTACAGGTTCCTGATGCACATCATTTATTTTTCAGATCGGATTCAAAATGGCTGTCTGTCGGCCATTTTGTTTTAATGATTGGGCTTCTAGAGCCATATCTCTTAAATGCTTTGACTGATTATATTCAAATTTTATATATTCGTTATACATCATGTTATATATATACATGTATTCAAAATGGCTGATTTTGAATGCTGTTCCAGAGCAAAATCTCTCAATATGGACAAGTACTTTTTTGACGATCAGATACAAATGTCAATCATTTTAATGTTAAAAAATCATATTCCTGACATGGTTATATTCCAGCTATATTACTATAAGCAAAACTATATATCTTAAATTTGATAACTAACGGGGACTGTGCCATGCATGGCTTGTTTATTTATTGGTCTCAAAAGAATTATAATTTACAAATGCCCATATTTGGTACTCACGTTGCAATCATTTACCTTGACCTTGATGCGACATGCAGTTACGAGAACAGTTAGGTAAAGATATGACTAAAGGTGAAAATTCCAAGCAAAGGTGGGCATTACTAAAAGGAAGGGTGAAGAAAGAAGTTGAAAAAGTAAGTTGTCACATTGTAACATAGAATAAGTTGAAGTCTTTTTAATAACGTATTTTTGTAATGATTGTATAATAATGAAAACAATATAATTATAGAACACTCAGTAGAAATTTTTTATTGTAATAATTGAGAAGCCAGGAAGAAAAAAAAGAGGGAGTGTAATAGCAAAAAAATCACACTTTTTAAAATCAATTTTATAAGTTTGAACGTCTCTTTGATGGTACAAATTGAGTTTCCTCCTGTATGTAGTCCCCAAAAGTTCCTGAATAATAAATCGTATTATGTCATTTTCAATATATCATTTTTATTTCCAGGGTGGTAGCCGTAAATCTCAACTCTGTATCCAAGAAATCATGTTCCAATATTGCTACCCACGGCTAGACGTCAACGTCAGTAAAGGGGTCAACCATTTACTTAAAAGTCCTTTCTGCATTCATCCCAAAACCGGCCGAGTATGCGTTCCTATCGATGCTGAGCATGCTGAGAAGTTTGACCCAACAAAAGTGCCAAGCATCAGGTAGGTTTCCACGGTTACTCAAAATGTTTGTTTATCCAATACTACTATGCATTTATAAAATAAGACTGAGCTTGAACTTCACTAAGGCATCAAAATCCATTGCCTAGATCTCCAATGAGTTTGCCTTGCTGCCCTTCTACATTCCTAATAGTATCACTATATGCTAATTCCATTTTATAAAATTTGGTCTTGGAAATGAGTGCCCTCTCAATAGAGAAATTCAAGCCCTCATAAAGGGAGACGTGTATGGTGATATGCAATTAAGATCTCATGATCTTGTTCATTAACCTATGGCATCACAAATATAAACTGCAGTTGGCTACATAACCTCTAACCACGGGCAGTGGACACTGGCAACCAAAGCCTCTATTTGTATCATATTTTAATAAGATTGAACAATGTCTTACTTTTTATTACCAAACCTACTTCAACTATGCTGTGGCTTTTTTGAAAATTTGAGAATCCATCTTCAACACTTTTATAAGATGATCCTAATGCTGACATTTTATTAGTACCTGTTCGAACAAAGTTCAAAAACGGTGTCTTATAATTCGGTCCTTGTCCAACCGACCAGAATCATATTTCTGAACCCTGTGGACCAAATTTGTTCATTCTTTGCATGTGCCTAGTACTTTATTTTGGACGTATGCACATGCAGAGGTTTAATGATTTAATCCAAGATGGATGACTGGCAGCCATTTTGTTTTTGAAAATTTATCTTATGCATGCTTTGTCCTTTTTTGTTCAAATTTGGTACTTATGACTGACTGGCAGCCATCTTGTTTTTTTGGAAATGTTGTATCATGAACATGGTTCGTCATTTTCATTCAAATTTGTTATATACATTGTACATTTTAGATTACATGTCCATGACGATTTGTTTTACAATCGGATCAAAGAAAACTGACTAGCAACCATCTTGCTTTTTGACCATACTACCGGTACTATATCTCCATATAGGGATACATGATCATGTTAGTGTATTCAGTAATCAGATAATAGATGGCCAACTGGTATCCATCTTGTTTTTTTTTAAATCAGATCTTTGTTAGGATTTGTCAGTTTCCATTAAAATTTGATACAAACATTATACTTGTTGAAATACATGTCCATGATGATTAGTTTTGTGTTTGAATCCAAAATGACCAACTGGTAGCCATCTTTCTTTTTTTTAAATGTATCGTTGATAGGTTTTATTTCTCTTCAAATTATATGTGTTAGGATACATATCCATGACAATTAGTTACACAATCGTGTCAAAGATGGTTTACTGCCCAAATCTTACCTTTTGACCATACTACTATATCTCTGTACATGAGCCTGGACAAAGGAAATACAGTTTGGATACAAAAAATACGTGGACCATATATTTCGGATTCCGATTTTGGAAGAGTCATTTAATACATCTATTTTCTGTTGATACTAGACCAGCCATTTATTCACTTTCAATTACTAATTATGCTTTTGGTCCATATTACTGGTACTTTATTTTTGGCATGAATAACATTTCCCCTAATTCCAATGAAGACTATGTCATAAACAATGACTTGTTTCATATTATCTCTTGTAGTCAACTTTGCCATGAATTGGACAATGCAATGGATACACCTGAAACTGATGAACCTGCTGCAAAGAGGAGACGAGGTGAGCTAAATATCTTTTTTTACAGCAATTTGTATCAAATTTAATTTGCCTTAAAATGTCCTCTAACCCAAACTTAAAGGGGCATCTCCATTTAGACCTAATCTCCCAACATATGTGCTTTCTGGATTAAAATTACAATGGATAACAAAAGATAGATTAACATTGTAAACAACATAAACAATAGTGTCCCATGATTCCTTGGTGCAATCCCTGGGTTTGGCAGGTTCCCTTTAAAGCTCATTACAAAGCACCATGGCTGAATTATGAGGGTGTTCCTATTAAAATTTAGGGTGCTAACTCACTGTGATCTGTTATAGTATTAAGACAGTTTATAAATAAATAAATAAATACAGAAAGCCTAATTATAAACAGATAACTTAAGGTAATTTATTTACTGTCAATTACATAACTGTGATTGACAAGAGTTTATTCACAGGGGACTTTTACTGTTTCTTCCCTGGTTTCTTCTATGTCCTCGATTATAACTAGGTTTTCAAGGAAATCTTTACCTGTGTTGAAGTAATCATTTTAAGTTTGGAAAATAGTCAGTACAGGTTTTTCGATTTTGAAATATGCAGGTTTACTGGATCTCAGAGGGGTATTGAATAGGGAATTAATGATTTGTCAGTAAAATTATACTTTTTAAAGTGTAACTGAATTGGGACAATTTACTTTTTTTGTGTGCAAAATTTATTTATAAACAACATTATGAAAAAAAAACAAGTGAAAAATGTACATAAATTAAATAAACGATCAATAATAATGTTCTGGATAAGGAAACGTCCACGTCCAATTTCTTGGCCGACTCAGAACGAGGCTTCAGCTAGAGAACCTAATTAGCATACAAGGGTGATTTGTGACGTCACGGGGGGAACTTGTCATCGTTTCACAATGGCCGCTATACGCATGCAGTGCTCGGAAAGCGACCCGGAATCTATCTTATCATCGTCTGACGAGAGTTATGAGATCGAGGAATATGATGACAACGAGAGATGTCACAATTTTGTTTTAGAGTGTCAGGGACAAAGTGGCCCACTACAGGTTTGAACCTGCGAGAAAAGTACGCGATGTGGGTGACCGTGTACCTCCCCAAAATGACCATGACGATGCAGGCACCCGGTTAAGGCACAGGCACAGAGTTTGAACATCGTGACCGAAAATCTCGTTTTTATTAAACTCCACCTGAACAATGTATCAATAATGTTAGAAAATCTGCACTCTAAAATGTAAATTTGTGTGCGTCCGATAGATCGCGTGTTCTATTTCCGGTAGGACGCGAATACCTACAACTGCAAGATCGAAACAAATGAAATTGTACTGATAAATGATTCGGGCGTAAA